ACAGGCGAGGACTGTGCTGTAGGAGCACATGTGAGAATATAAACAGGACTCAAACAGTGACACGGTGCCCAAGAATGAGGCTGTGAACAGGGCAGGAACTGCATATGTGGTATGTTGCAGAACGGTCTGCTTTTTCTTGAGAAAGACACATCTTAGTTCATGTCCTTGTTCACAGAGGATCCATGAAATGTTAGAGGCCAATGACACTTTAGGATTAGGTTACCTTTTGTGAGTCGGGGTGATGAGCATTCAAATAGCCTGGCAGGAAGGCATGGACCTCAAAACCCTCTCTGGCACTACGGTGATTCTGTAATTCCATTCAGGATTTCACACAAGCACGCAAGCAGTTTTCTTCTCCCCCTCAACAATGACAGAGAAGTTGCTTTCACACCAGTCATGGCCTCACACAGAAGCTTAATCCCTGGCTGGAAGGCAAAACATGTTTGTGGCAAAGCCAAGCAAGCATGGGAAGTGAAGCAGAGTGAGGAATGTTTTATTACTGTTTTGGATGCCAGGGGTGGTTGGGTGTATGTTTGGGGTTTTTTAATGACTCCAAAAGACATCTTAAAAAGTCATACTCTGTTCGCAGCTCCAAGATGCAATTGTTACTACAAGTACTAACGCTTACCAGCGACTGACTGATGCACACACTGATTTTCTCACAAGCACCCTTTCCTTTCTGGGGCTTTTGACCAAATTAAGTTCTCTCTTTCTCTCGAGTGTGTGTGTGCTTTCCCACACATAGAGGCATATACCACACAAGGAAAGGCCAAATCCAACTAAACATCATTTTTAGGGTCAAACTGTGGAAAAAGAAAAACTCTTGATACACCTTTTAATCGGAACAACTTAGGTACTGCAAGATTTTCTTTCTACTGGCAGAAAATTATACTAACAATTCTAAGTTAATGACTTGAGAGTAAACAGTTCCTTCTTTGTAAAATGAACTGGATTCATCAAGACTTGTGTTCAAGTGAATTTCTCCTCCTTTAAGTCAAAAAAAAGACATGACTTAAGAGAACTCCTAGGCTCTAAGAGAATCTTCAAAAAAGTAGGATTTCCCCCCTACACTGCACATTAAGTAAATACCTCCCCATCTCCCCAGTGCTTGCTACCCACAGATTGCAGCACAGGGCCCAAATAGGATGTAGTTTTTATAGGTGATATCAGAAAAAAAAAATGTTCCTTTCTTGTATGATAATTGTGGTAATGTTAGATATTTCAAAACATCCTTCCACTAAGGATGGCAAAATAAGAAGTTGGTAGCCCTAGGCCAATCCCTCCCAATTTTTTTGACAGTTTCTTCATCCAAGTGATCTATGTATGAGAACCACTTGTCTGAAACAAGGAATTTAGGGTCAATCATCTAGTTATTACTAGTTCTCATCTAGTTACCACAATGGTGACCATCCTCAGGGCCAACAAACAACCTATAGAAAATTTAAGACTAATTGTAGTCAATATGCAGGGGAGAGAGTATGAAAACTTTTAGGCTCTATAAACTTGCGGTCTATAAGTTCCTGGTTGTTCTGCAAGTTTTTCCTCTATCTGCAGGCCCCTCATTGCACCCTACCCACCCCTCATTACCAAGTTATCTCCTCCTGGTTTTGAAACACAGGTGCTTTTAAAGCTTGAGGGTACCATTAATCTGGGAACCCCCAAATCAAGACACTTCACCCTGCTGAGATTCTGAGAAGTCGGCCTTATGGTACCAAAGGCTTTATAGAACAATTCACGGCATTTTGTCAGTTAAAATTAAACTGAAACAAAAGCCCAAGACTAGCTTCTTGCTACTGCAGCGTCTCACCCGATCCAAGTGATCCTAAAATCCATCCACCCAGAAAAGCCCAATGGCATGGCTGGTTTGGGAAGTCAAAGCTGAGGAGGGTCACTTGCTCTCTCCAGAGACTCCAAACTGAGAACAAAGGCAAGAAACTCAGCTGGGATACGTCATTAACAGGCCTTCAACTATTTATAAAACTTTTCAATGAAGAATATGTTAATAAGTGACTGTAAAATGAAAATCCCCTTTTTTCCCAGGGATTCTATCTACCTTTAACTTAACTGTATGCTACCTAAAATTTTCTTTTATTAGATTTCCCCCAAAATGAATTCTAAAATAAGTACCATTCCAGAAGAAAAAAAAAATCCATAAACACTAACTTTTTTAATACCTTGATTTACCTCATCTCTAACTAAACTGTTCAGTGACAAATAATATATTTGTTGTGAAGAGTTAATTTCCTAGATTATATGTGCACATAAACACATAAAGTGACAATATTTTGAGATACAGGATGCTAATAAAGGTAACATTTATTGGGCCAGCTACTGGGGCACTGGACACTTTACTTGGATTACCTCAGTTAATCCTCACAACAAACCTATAAAGTAAGTACTATTCTTACTCCCATTCTATAGATAAGGTTTAAATGAGGAGATTCATTAATGTAATTTAATCCCCACTAACCCAGAATTTGAGTTCAGTGTTTACTCTGGCTATAAAAAGGTTGAATAAGCATATGAGAAATTAAGCAGAATTGCAGAAAGCATGGTTAACCTACTAGAAGAACCTGTGTTTTCAGACATACTGAAAAGCAGATGCTAATTGCAAGCCTTCCAGCAGGAACTGTTTGGGAAGGTTCTGTCTGAAATTATGCTACCGTAGTTAAGATTCAGACTTTCACTAGTTAAAAGCAGGTTTCCTCTCACTGTTACTTCCAAATTAGGAAGTTTCTATAGATGACACAGTATAGTGGATGTCAGGTACCCATTTCCCTTCTCCCCCAGCAATACTCAGTTCTGTCCCCTCCTCCTCTTCTCCCAGCCCTGGTGCTTTAGGGAAAGCTTATGCACTCCCCCAGGTGAGGGACAGACCAATCAGAAAAACCTCCCGCCCCTGCCAATCAATAGACAGCTTTCACCTGACTACTGGGATTGGCTGAGGAATGAGCACGTGGCTTAACTCCGGCCAATGAAATGCCAGGGTTGGCTTGCAGGGGATGGAATTCTGGGAAAGATACTTTCTCAGTCTTTTAAGGAGTTACTGGCAGGGATACTTCTTTCCTTCTGGCCAGAGGGATGCAACTATGAGCCGAGGAACTTCCGCAGCCATTCTGCCTCCCTGAGGATGAACTGACATCATGGAAGAGTGACAGAGAGATGGAAAGAAACTGGATGGTTGATGTCATGTTGAGCTATTTCACACCCACAATGCAGTCCATCCCATCCCTGAACTTTGCAGGTACACGAGTCCATTAATTAATTCCCTGTGCTGTGGGAGCCCCTTTGGTTTGGTTTTATGATGGTCACAACCCCAGAGGATCCAAACTGATAAATGAGAAAAAAAAGCACTAATTGACAGCTTTCTCCCCATGTGCTTGGATTTTACTTGACACTGTTTCTAAAATGTTTGAAGTGGTTTTGTGTTGGTTTTTTCCTTAAAATGTAACAGGTTTTCAAGAAACACTTTCAAGAATTCATGAGTGGCTTTGGGCAAGTCACCTGACTTTCCTGGGTCTTCCCAACTGTAAAAAGGATGAAGTTTGACTAGAGGAATTTTGTTGCTCCTCCCAGCCCTTACAGCCAACAGTTCTATGTGGCTGACCTTATAATGCAAAGTTTCACTTACTCCACCAAACAAAAACCCCTCTTTGGATAGAAACATCCTTTGTGATATAATTCAAGTAATCTGCATCTCTTGCTTGGTCAGCTATTTCCAATTTGCACCCCTATATCCCCCCTTCTGCAATCAGCTCTGTGCCCCCCAAGGGTCTGATCTCTGTGGACAGCATCAGTATGGCTCCTTGCCTTCTAGCTTCTGGCTGAGTGTGCCTAATGGGAGGCACCATCAGGAGATGGGAGAAAGGACAAGGGAGTTCGGTGAGGATATTTATTCTCTTGGCTCTTTCCCAGCTGTGTTGCTGAAGGTTGACTGCATCCTTCCACCAGAGAGAACCTTTCCATGGAGCTTCTCTCTCCAGTTCTAATAACCAATCCTTCCCTCTTTCTTTCAGGACTAGGCATGGTAACAGCTCCCCGATACCACTAGCCCCGGGATCCTTCCACATCCTGTGATGGGTTCTCTTAACCCTGCCTACACCACTATAAACAGTCCCTTCAGGGCAGTCTTTTGGATGACTCCATTTGAATACACCATCTGTTTCTTACTGGAAACCCAAGACATGGTAGCTTAAAAATTAAATCTAAATCAAGCACAACAAAAAAGAAAACAGAAGCAATCAACTTTGAGTCTCACATAAGAGAGATGAAAAGTGTGGCCCTTGCCAAGAAAAATAACCTGCACATACCAAGAGAATCAAATTAGACACCCACCACCCTCCTTTCCCCACTGTCACTGAGAATTGTGGAAAACAGCCATCCCTTGCTATACCAGGGTTTAAACATTAAAAAAAAAAAAAGTCTGTGTATACACAAACTTACTGACGCTTCAGACAACTTCTGAGAGGGCCTGGAAGGGGAAATCCCAGCTATGTGCCCATTTTCTAGAGGGACAAACTGCTGAGCATGGAAGAGAACGCAGGGCTAGAGCTGATTTAAAACAAACAAACAAACAAAAAGACCACTAGAAATGTCCCAGGGCCAGTTCAAAGGCTCCTTGGTCCAATAATCTGCCTCTTACAGACTCTGGGGGGTTTCTCAGAGCAGCCTTCTGTACTACAATTCTGCCGAGAGGTCTAATCCCCCCTGAACACATCTAGAGCTACCATCCATGAATGTCCTTTGGCTCCCTCATATTCACAACTCTGCAAAGTCAAGAGATACAAGGCACAATGCCCTCAGCCCCATTCCGAGTGATGCTGAATGTCAGTATGTGAATCCACTACCACTGACCATTTCCCAAAGAAACTTTCCCAGCAAGTTATGATATCCAGGCCCACAGCAGCCTTCCTCCCCTTCTCGGGGCATTTTCCATTCCCCAGATATCCAAGGAATGCTTTCAAGGATCCCTTCATCACAAAACATTACACAGCAGCTACCTGTTTCAGGATTAAGAGGCTTAATTGTTCAGGGTCGTCCTGCTTCCATGTCTTCCTCCTTCAGCATCCGAGAGAGCCAGGGCCTGTAGGAGTGACCCAAAAAGCACATTCAGGATATTTGGCTTCAACATGGGAAAGATCCTATCGATCAGGAGAGAACGGAGAAGCAGCCAAGGATGGAGCCCTGAAGAATCCAACAGCAGATGGACCGGCCCAGGAGGAGGCCCCTGAAAGGCTGCTGAGGAAGGTGCCCGAGGGAGAAGAGAACGTAGGAGAGAAAGTCACCCAGTGCCATTCTAGGTCCTCAGGCCTGAAACCCAGGAGTCACCGTGACTCCATATTGCCACACCCAATGGACACTTCACTCCTTATCTTTCTGGACTCTGCTACTTTTGACATTGGACAACTTCCTCTTTTTGCACCTCTGATTTCTCTTGGCTTCTTTCATTCCACAAATAAATCTCTCAGAAACTATTTCTTGAGCACCTACTATGTTCCAGGCCCTGGGACATTACCATAATACCATGCCCCTTATTTGTAGGGAGTTTGTAGACCAGTGTGAGGGAAGAAGATAAAAAATCTAAACAAATGTCAGGTGCTGATAAATGCTACAAAGAACAGTACAATGGGGAAGGGGAATAAGAAGGGTGCTGGGGTTGTGGGGGAGGGTCTCACTGAGAAAGTGACATTGTCACTGGAACCTGAAGAAGGTAAAGGATGCCCGAGGAGAAGAGTGTTCCGGGCAGAGGGAAGAGCAAATGCAGAGGTCCTGAGGGAGGAGCTTGCTTGGGATGATGTTTGAGGAAGCCATTCTAGCTAGAGGAAATTGGAGAAGGGCAGAGTAGAAGAAAAGGTCAAGGAAGAGGCTGGGCCAGGTCATGTGGACCCCGAAGGTCATTTCAAGGACTTTGTCTTTTATTTTGAGAGAGATGAAACACTATACGAGTCTTTTGAGCAGAAGAGTGATTTTTAAATGATCACTGAGGCTGTTGTGGGGAGCATGGTGTATTAGTCAGCTCGGGCTGCCATAACAAAGTACCACAAACTGGGTGGCTTAAATAGAAGAAGCGTATTTTCTCAGTTCTGGAGGCCAGGAGTCCCAAGATCAAGGTGTCCACAGGGCCTCCCTCCCTCTGAAGGCGCTAGAGAAGGATCTGTTCCTGGCCCCCCTCCCAGCTTCTGGTAGCTCCTGGGCTTGCGGCAGCGGAACTCCAGTCTTCACACAGGGGAGTACTCCCTGTGTGAGTGCGGGCTTCCTAATTTCCCCTTATTATAAGGACGCCAGTCATACTGGTTAGAGACCCACCCTACTCCAGGATGACCTCATCTCAACAGCTAATTACATCCACAATGACCCTTATTTCCAAGTAAGGTCATATTCTGAGATACTGGGGGTTAGGACTTCAACAAAGGAATTTGGGGGAGATGCAGTCCAACTCATAACACAATTCAGTCCCCATAATAGGTGGATTCTAGAAAGGCAAGCAAGGGTGGAAGTAGGGAGACCAGTTAGGAAGTCATTGCAATAATCCAAGGAGAGAAGCTGCTGGCTTGGACCAAAGTGGTGGCAGTGGAGGTAAATGAGAAGGGGTGAGTCTGGATGTATTTTGAAGAAGCCGCTGACATCATTTGCTGGTTGGTAGACTGGATGTGGAGTGTGAGGGAAAGAGGGGAGTCACGGTGACTCCTGGGTTTCAGGCCTGAGGAACTAGAATGGCACTGGGTGACTTGACAGGAGGCAGTTCCTGTGGAAGGCGGGAGCCCTCTGCAGCAAATCCAACTAGGTCCCTTCCCTGGGCCCAGCACACCTCCCACAGGCAGAAAGCAGCCCGAGTGGGCTGGGTCAACTAAGGAGCAAAACCTGAGGGCAGATTCTTTCCAGACACCTGTCTCTAAGGGGAGGAGAAAAGGGAATGAGAACTAGAGAGGGTGAAGGTTTGGGGTTTGGTTTCAGCCAGCTGAAACCCCAGCCAGGGGGTGAGGTCCCAGGAGCTACAGGAGATGGGGAGGACTCATGTACAGGAAGAAGGTTCTCTCTGGCCAGGAGGAGGGATGCGTCCATCTCTGAGTGGAAGGAAATCAGGTTGGGATGAGCCACAATGTCAGTACCCACAAGGGAGCGGAGGCAGGAACCTGAGTGGGCTCAAAGCTGAGCTGTTTGGAATTTGTCAATGAATAAATGAAGCCAGGTTGTCTCCTGAGTGAAGAAGGGCAGACAGGAGCTCGACAGGGGGCGCGGTGTGGAACATTCCACTAAGGGGAATCATGCAGGTGCTGGGGCAGCCCTAAAACCGGGAGCCTCTTAAATCAGTGTCTCACCTGAGGGCGTGGTGGCCAGTGGGGACCAGGGCTGCAGAGAGAGCTGGCTGCTGGCCAGCAGCACTGAGGGCCCAGCTGAACCCAGAAGCCGTGGTTTCACGGACACACAATCTGCTGTGGGGGTTCTGGACAGGCCCTCAGCAGCCTGGAATAGGAGAGTCTTCCCTACACTGAATCCGGAGGCCCCAACAGGCTCCGTCCACTTCTGTCAAGGCTGCATCACTGTCCCAGGCTCTGGGCCCCTGGAAAGCCCTCTGAACACTCCCCTGACGCCCCACAGGTCACAAATTGGGCCTCGTCCCCCACAGGACGACTCAGACTCCACTGAGCACCGGCCACAACGTGTGTGCTGGCCACCACACAAGCCAAATCCTCACACGACCATCCTGTGAAGTGTTATTAGCTTCCACATACAGACGATGAAATGGAGATTCAAGAAATTAAGTAACCTGCTCAAGGTCACATGGGCAGCAAGGGGCAGAGCTGGGGCTTGAAACCTTTCATTTCTCGGTCTTCCTTTCTATATTCATGTCAACCACCCCAGTCCAAGCCTTCAAAGTTTCCCTCCTAAAATTCAACAGGATAGATGTGTTCTTACTCGCCTCCCGGCATTCCCCGTTTCCAGGGCAGCCAGCCAGGTGAGCCTTCCTACAGCACCGTTTTTACCTAGCCCCATCCTGTTCAGTTGGCTTTGACAGCTCCCGAGGCGGGAAAATTTCCAATTCCACAGCCATTCCTTGGGATCCTTCACGAACACTTCTTCAATCTTGTTTCCCACAGGCACCCTCTGCTCCACCCTATCCGGTACGCCCCTCCCTTTTCCAGGCCCCTCAGGCCCCAGGGCCCCACACCTTCCTCCCCCTGCAGCCCTGCCCCTCTCACCCCTGGCTCTTGGCCCTCTCCTGCAGCCCACTGAGTGGCACCACCCCAGCTTCTTAGCCCTCCCCGCTGTTCTGAGCCCACTGCATTTCCCTTCCCTGTAGACTGCAAACCCTTTGAGGGTGAGTGATATTTGTGTTGAAAATGCTTGGAATTATCCATTGCTCAACATAAGGTCTCTTAACTGGTAAACATTGCTTGATCTACAGAACAATGCTGATGAAGCGCAGACGTTACAGCTGTAGAAGTTTTTCAGAAAATAGAAGAGAACTGGAATGGGCAAAAGAAGGGACACAGGGCTGTCTTGAAGTTTCTGGAAGTGTACTCATTGTTCCTTTGCAGGAGCACCCGGAGTGTGGCATCCTGTAAGAGCTATCCCAGTGAGAAGGAGAGCACTAGATTTAGCTCCCCCTCCTCTTCCTGCTCCCACATATCCAAGGTCTTGGCATCCTTCCTTAGCTACCTCTTCACATGCTTTCATAGACATAGAAAGATATCATCTCTTCTTCCCTCTTCAAGGGAAGAGCTTGAGATGTGAGAAATCCAGCTCAGTGGGGCTTGTGGTGACCAGAGGAATGGTCAGCGCCAGGTGGCCGGAAAGAGGAAAAAGGATCCTCCATTTCTGGGGAATTGGGAGTTGGCCCTAACCCATTTCAGTCATCAGCCACAGACCACACAATAATTCTGGGCTTCGTGGGGTCCCAGGGAGAGGATGAATGGGAAAGATCAAAGTCAGCAAAACACTCAAGGGCCATCAAATCACACCCCGTACGGAGGGAATGGGCAGCCCCTGAATAACAAGATCTGGGAGAAAACTACAGGGGTCAAGGTGATGCTGTCTGCCAAGAGTTCCAATAAGAAATCAAGATCTCCTCAAACTGGTGGAACCAAAGGCTCAGGGGGTTCCTCATGACATAGTTGAAATAAGGAGCTCTGGAGTCAGGCCTGGGGTCCAATCCTGACTTTGTCACCCAGGGGCTGGCCAATCTTAGGCTGGTCACTTAACCTTTCTGAGCCTGGGTCCGCATGAGCTGCTCTGAGGCCTAAATACAACACACATATAAAAACATCTAGCACAGTGCCTGGCTTTATATAAGGGGCCTAGTAAATGTTGCCCCCCTCCCTCCTCCCAGCCTTCAAACCTCACAGCTCTCACCCCTGGATAATGAGAACAAGAACAGAAGCTACCGGGCACTTCCCAGAGAGAAGGTCTGCAAAGAAAGATGGCAACCGTCAGCAAAAGGAAGGAGAACAAAGGGGCCACCCCACAGCCTCTAAGAGAGAAGCGCCGGACCTCTGTGAACGCCCGGGTTTCAAAACACAACAAAGCTTCGAGCCTCAGACCATACCCAAACAGGAAGTTTGTGACAAACTTAGAAAACATGCAGGCACGGCTGAAAGAGGTTGCACAGCTCTCAGCAAAGATGAAAACCAGCACCTTGAGGGGGTCCGTGTGGCATAAAGGAGCGCGTCCGCTCGGCCTTCCCAATGCACAAAACTCTTCCTGGGCATCAGGGAGCACCCTGCCTTGTGTTCCTCCTCACCTCAAGCACGTGGCCCAAAGCCCACAGAGCTGCTCTGGTTTTCCAAAGCCGGGGTCTGGCAACTGCTCCCCACTCTCTGCCCTTGCCCTATGTCCGCAGGCAGTGAGGACAGCGGACACCCTGAACAGCCATGGCCGGGGGTGGGGGGCAGGGGACTTAGGTGTGTGGGGTCGCTTCTCAGCCGGGAGAAGTGAGCACAGAAAGAGGAAGTGATGTGTGGAGGTGCCCGGCCAGTGGATGTTTCATCAGCACCCCCACCCCCCCGCACTTCACCGTGGGGTCATCAGGCTGCCATTTTCCCGCTCTGAAATGCTGCCTGGCACTAACATTTGCCTTTGCAC